CAAACTAAATTAGACTTTTTTTCAGAATTTTATAGAAATATAAATAATAAATATTATTTAATAATTAAAAATAATATAATAATATTAAAATTTATTAATTAAACATAATAAAATATAAGTTTTTCTCTTTATATAAAAATTTTTAATTTTATTAATATTTTTTAGATTTTTAGATTTAATTTGATAAAGTTGTTTAATTAAATATAAAATTAATTATAATATTATTTTTATTTTTATATAAAAATAAAAAATATTGATTAATAAAATTGAAAACTTTTATATAAAAAGAAAAATTTATATTTTACTATATTTAATTAATAAATTTTAATATTTTTATATTATTTTTAATTACTATATATTTCTTTATAATTTTTTAATATTTTAAATATTTAATAATAATAATAGAATATTTTACTATTTAATAATAATAATAAAATATTTCTAATAATAATATAAAATAAATAGATAATTATATTAAATTAACTAAAAATTATAAAATTAGAAAATTTATTATTATTATTATAGTAATAATAATTTACTTTTTATAAACTTATATATATTTGTTTTTGTTGAGTTTTAATTTTTTAATAAACTTTTTGTAAATAATTCAAATATTTTCAAAAATTATATTAATATTATTAATATTATTAATATATAATGACAATCAAAAATAATATAATAATATCAAAATTTATTAATTAAATATAATAAAATATAAATTTTTTTCTTTATATTCAAGTTTTTAATATTATATTTAATTTTTAATTATTAATATAGAATTTTTTTATTTTGTTTTATTTTTTTTTAAATATTATTATAATAGATTATATTCAAAAATTATTAAATTATTAAATAATATTAATATTAAATTATTAATTTAATATTATTATTTAATATTGTTATAAATTAATATTTTAATATTATTTTTTATATTTTATTAAATTATTATATTTTTAATTTTAATTTTTATTCAAATTATAATTCAAATTTATTATTTGGATTTCAATTTGAATTTTTATTTGAAATTTAATTTAATTTGTATTCTTATTAAACTTTATAATTTTATATATTTTAATATTAAAAAATAGAAAAAAATTAGTTAATTATAAATTTATATTAATTTATTTATAATTGTTTATTTTAATTAAAAAATTATAATTGTTATTTGATTTCTTGTTTTAATTACAAAATTATAATTATTTAAATTAATAAAAAAGAAATTATTAATAATTTTATTTATAAACTATATTTAAAATTATATAATATATACTCTTTAGTTTTAATAACTTAATTTAATAAAATTTAAATTATTACTTTTTGTTCAAAAAAATAGATATCAAATTTATTTTTAATAATAATACTATTTAAGCTAAACAAAATTATATTTATAGATTTTCTGTAAATAATTTTTAATAAAGCAATAATAATTCAAAATTAAAATAAATTTATTATTAAACTAATAATTTAATTATCTATATATAATTAATATATAATTATACTTATTATTAATTGGCTAATTAGTATATTAATTAAATTTTCTCTGATTATAATTCCAGTTTTTAATAAAAAATAAATTAGTATATTTATTAATCAAAAAACTATAACAAGATATACAACTTATAATTATAGAGTTATATTAATATATAATCTAAAAATTCTCCAATTTTACATTAATAAAACTATAATATTATTAAATTTTATGATAATAAATTAATATTTCAAATTTGATTACTTAAAAATCGTTGATTGAAACTAAGTTATATATTATAAATATATTTATCTTTAATTAAAAAAAAAGATTTTAGAGCTTATTTTAACTACCATAATATAAATATATATTATTTATTTTAAAAACAATATTAACTTTTTTACTTATAATTTTTATTATTTATATTATTTTAATATTATATATATTATATACTTAAAAAATATAAAATTAATATATTTATTTTAATAATATATTGAACTAAAGTAATTTGCTATTAATTTTAATTAGCTTACAAAATTAATTAACTATTATTATTTTTTATTTAGAAATATATTTCCAAAATTTTTTAATTAATAAATTAAATTCACTTACTTCTTAATTATTTTGTTCTAGTTCTATTTAAAAATAACTTTTTAACTATTGCAATATAATAATAAATAAAGTATTATAATAAATAAATATTAAATGATTATAATTCTATTATTAGTTCTATTTAATTAGTTATTAGTTAAAGTTTTTTTATTGATACTTGCTAAAAAAAATAATTTATGCAATTTGATTATTTAGTTTGATATTATAGAATTATTTAAAGATGTTAATATAATTACTTTGATATATTTGATATTGATAGTTTTTTTTTTACTTTAATTTCTTTCTTGATTAAGAAAGAGTGAAATATTAATTGGTACACCATTCCTTTTGGTATTTTTAATATAATATAAAATCAATTACTATAGTTTGACAAGATTTTAGCATTAAATTTATTCATTCAGAATAATAAAGATCAAAACCAGTATCAGTTAAATAAGCTAACTCATTGAGATATTTTTCTTTTCTCTTATTATTATAAACTTTAAGGATATAGTTTACAGTCTTTTTTCTTTGGTATTGATATTCTTTATATTATTCTTCCAGGATTTTTTTACAAGTTTCATAGACACTATTATCATTACTTCTATTGCTTTTAATTTTATGATTTTAGATGAATTACTCCGAGAAATTGCTTTTTATGATTTTTTAGATGCACCGCCCCGGATAAAGGTATTACCACTACCACAAAGGTAGTGGTGAATACATTACCACGGAGAAAATTGCTTTTTATGATTTTTTAGGTGCACTGTCTCGGGTAAAGGTGCATTGCCACGAGGTGGATGCACTACCACAGAGGTGATTGCTTTTTATTTTTTGTGATTTTTTAGATGCACTACTCCGAGTAAAGATGTATGCTTTTATATTTTTTATGTGTACTGCCACGGTTATACTTTTTCATTGGACCAAATTATTTGCCAATTGTCAATCGTCCAATCTCGGTATTTTTTTGCCCAGGAAAGTCGGCTTTTTCGGCGCGTCTTTTTGAGTAGTGGTTTTTTGCGTTTGATTCGGGAAGCTAAGCCATTTCTCCGGAATATGTGCCGTACGCTCTCCATTGACAAATTGGCTCCTATCTTGCGTTGGACTTCAACAGCGGTGGAGCATTTTCCGGACGTTATCAGCCGGACAGCATTTCGCTCATAACGATCCGAAAGAATGCGTGGACGACTGGATTTGGTTCATCTTCAAACTTCCGGTCTCTTCTTTCTTTCGGAAGATTCGAAGGACGGAAGCTAAACCAACTTGTTCTGATGCGACGATTTCTTGGACCGTGTATCCTTCTCCTCGGAGAGCGTGTATTCGGAAACGTTTTTCTAGGAGGATATGAGGCATTGGAAAAAAAAGTGTATTATTATGTCGAGTAAAGACAATGTGCTCTATATATGTCGTAATGAGAATAACAGAGCATTTATGCTTCTTTTTAGGAGTTTGCGTTATTAATTGATTCGGTCAAAATGAACGCTAAAAAATTAAATTTATTTTAGGATTAGAAAATAGCAGCAAATAAATTTGTATTAATTAATACTTAAAATTAGCTTACCTTTATTCGCTGCCAATTCTCAATGGTGCGATATCCGAACTTCGTCTCGTTTTTCCCGTTTTTTGTGAGCCACTGTATTTAATAAATTCATATTTATACAGTGTGAGACAAAAAAAATCAACTATACCAAGTTCATCATAATCCACAGATTGTACCAAATCCAATATCATTTAAAAGTGAAAAAATCACAGAATAAATTTTATTAAGGCTTAAAATTTGATTCGTTCACCTTCATTTTCAATAACTAACTCACAACGAAACGATATCGCATCGAATTTATTAAATTATTTAAAAACCTCCAAATTTTGGGCATTCGTTTCTCAACATTGCTCTTAATAATAGCCCATGAATTTTCTATGGGGTTAAGATCAGGACTACAGGAAGGCCAATCCATAACTTCGGGTACATTATCAGCAAGAAATGCTTTAGCTACTGGTATGCTTAGGATCGTTGCTGAAAGCGCCACTTCTTCCCAAGCATTTTATTAACCTCACCAACATGATCTTCAAGAATTTTAATCCATTATACGCCGAAAGCAAAATATGCTTGTTCTTCCCTTTCGCGCAAAAACCACCCCAGCAAAAATTTTTCTGTGGTTTTTTGGCATACGAAAAACTGGACGCTCATCTTTATATCAGTGTTCAATTGTGTTCCAGAATAATTGAAATGCTGTTTCATCAGTAAATAAGGTCTTTTTCCAATCATTAAGGTGAAGCTTGGCCCATTCAACACGATTCCGTTTATGAGTATCCGTTAACATTGACGTGACCAAAGGCAGATTTTTTTATACCCTAATGACTTTAAATGCCTGCCAGCAGTTCGATAAGACACATCGACGTCATGATTATTAAGTTTAGTGCGAGAGAACGTAATGATATTGAGGTATCTCGGCGAATAGATTGGCCAACGATTTTTGCTATAAGTCGTTACTTTTTTTGGACGACCATTGCCACCTTTGTGCTTTAAGTGCCAGTTGTTTTGAGCTTTTCAACACTGTATCATACAGCTGAGACGGGTGAGTTTGATTAGTTCAGGCACAGAGCGAATGCCTTCGTTCTAATAATGTAATAAGTTGCGCATCTTTTGTTCGCGAGCGGTTGGTAACATTTTAACAGTGAATTTTGCGAACGTTTACTTCGGATTGTATTATTTAGTATAGTATTTACACACTGTATAACCAAAAGTATATATGTACTAGGCGAACATACTTTTCCGATTTATAATACAGTTCAATAGAGGAATCGGTGATGAAATGGTGCCAATGGAAAAAAGCATTGAACAAAATCCTATCCATGCATTTGAATGGATGAAGTTAAGAACACAACTAAACAAATAATAGCGTAAAGCGACGCAGTGAAAATCGAAATCGGAAAAATCAACTTACCCCTCGTCATCGTCATACGGTAAAAAGGAATCAACAGTTGGATAAATTGATCGATTAGCCTGACCTGATACTGACTCGGGGTAATCTGTATTCAGGCGACTAGTCAACAGCCGGATAAATTGATCGATTAGTCTGACCTGATAAAATGTTGTCTTTCGTCTAGACTAAAATGCGACAGGTGTAATCTATCAGTATCGAAAGAACATTGCCAAAGAGGAAAACAAAGGAAGAAGACAAAGGAGGAAGGAGACAAAGGAAGGAGATAAAAGAAGGACAAAAGGAAGACGACAAAAAAGGGGGAACAAAAAAAAGGAGACAATAAAGAAAGAAGACGATAAAAGAAGGAAAGAATAAAGGAAGACAGCGATAAAAAAAAAAACGAAATAATATATATTAATTTTTCTCAAAGATAGGTTTAACAAATGTTGGGAAGGCAATTTTAACGATAATCATGACACTAGCTCTAGCCCAATCCTAGCCTTGAAATTAACCTTTAGCAATAACCTCTATTACCGTACCGTATAATTTTTCCGGATATGCAAGAATAATACAAAAACCTAGCGTCACCCCGAAAAAGTGGTAACCGGATATAGTTACCGGAAAACACACTTTTTATTTGGGGAGGCTTAGGATTAGAGTTAAGCTAAGAATATATATAAAATTGCCTCGTCGACATTTTCAATTAGTAGTGCTTCAAGCTAGATTTAGGCATTTTCATCTGGATTTGTTTTGCCGGCAGATCAAAAATTTGCGCCACTTCATTTGGTCAATGAGCAATCCGGCTATCGGGCGACGTTTCGGGTATACACAAATATCACATGACCTGAAATTTTTTAGGTACATTTGAACTAACGCTAATAGTTCAGTGAAGATTAAGTTAAATTTTTTGAATTTCCAGTAAGATCCTTGTAATAAGGTTCGATTGATTGTTAAAAATCCGATTGTTTAAAAACAACTCGTCAATCTCCTTTGTGACGAATGAAGTTGCGTACCATTATATTTTGTTTTGTCACTCCAGCTATGTTTGGATGAATTTTTTGGAAAAGGAATCTTTAAAAATTCTGAATTAGCTTTCATCGTGCAGAGTGCTATATTGATGCTGTGCTGCCAACTTGGGAATTCAAAAAATTATTACGTTAAGGATTTGGATAAGGCGAAAATGTTGAACACATCCACAAATATATTCATGATGTTATAATATTGTGTATGAGAGCTTACCATACGGCGCTGACTCGATTAAATATCTCCCATGAATAGGACCCGGGTATAATTCATAGGTTTGTTTGAAAAATAGAAAAGTACCTGGTTTATATAAATATTTTACTATGCACAGTACTTAGGTATATTATAATTTGTACCCCCGTGCCGTACGGTACAAATACTCCTAAGTTATTAGTGGTTCCATGTTTTAGTAATGCAAACTCCATTTTATGCTTGAAAATTCCATAGTAGCGTTTAACTTAACGTTATACAGAAATTTATGACTGAGAATTCCCTCACGAGCAACAATTTATATGAGAATCACTAGAATCTTTTCTAAAGTGTTCAGTGGGAGATTCAGCACGTAATTATAAAGATTTTAAAATTTGACAATATAATATGGCAAGGCAAGTTTTGAATATATTTTGCTTTTGGCAATAATGTTGCAGTGAGAGGCTAGTGTTTCGAGCGAAACTAGTTTCGCAAATTTGATTCACGTTTCCAAATGGGGGTTTCGAAACGGTTCGGATTTTGAAGGTATATTCTTTGTTTTAGGAGATGAATTTACATTGCGCGTGAATTAACTTTTACGTATATGATTACGATTTTGAATATTGTAGGACATAAAAATCACTTGTAATCGCAAACATCAATTTTTTTTAAAAAAATAGATGTCTGTAATTTCTTAAAATTGTTATTTTACGATAAATATCTTTTTGAGAATTTCTTAAAAAGATTCTCATTTCCGCAATATATATTTTTTTTGAAAAAAATAATGTTTTTATTTATTTTTGGTTTAATGTTTTGAAAAAAAATACAAAAATAAATATTTTTTGACAACTTATATAGAGATCTTACTATAACGTAGTGGTATAATTGAATCAATGATGGAATAATAAAAAATCAAATTCTATTTATCTACGTGAAAATTACGAAATGATTTGATTTGTGAATCGAATAAAGCGAATTGAATTGAACGAATGAATTGAAACGAATTGCATAATACCAAATTATTTTGAATTGAAACGAATTGTATAAATTAAACTAAATTGAATTGAATTGAGTTAAATTGAATCGAACAAATAGGATATAATTGCATGGAATAATAAAATAAAAGAGAGTAAATAATAATGATATGTGAAATATTATAAATTAAAATATTATATCTTAATTTGAAGTAAAAAATTAATATTTATAATGAAAGAAAGATTTAAATTGTTACTTATGGTATAAACGACATGTTTGCTCTTTATAAAGAAGATACATGTATGTAATAATGCTTATGAGAGAGAAAGCAAATTTTAAAATGCCCGATAAAAAATACTTCAATTTCTATGTGCTACTATTGTAAGCAAAAAGATTGCAAAAAAAATACTATAAAGAGAACGAATAATAGCAACACATCTATTTGTTATAGTAGAAAACGCAAGCTATGTGGTGTTCTTTATAAACAAAAACCGCGATAAAATTATTTATTAAGAGAGGCAAATAAACACGTGTGTTCTATTATAAAAGTTTTATGTAATTCTTCGGGAATTTGAAAGTAAAAATAAAAGAACATGGTAAAAGAATGTTATACTCTATAAGTCACAAAACATAAGATTAAACTTGATAAGGAAATGTTTGAGATTAGTAAAAGATTGTTGAACTGTGTTATGAATGACAAACGTAATGCTGTCAATGAATTTGCTCGTGACACTCGTATTTTTATCATATGAAAGGCCAGTAATTTGCCGTATTAGTGGCGTTTTGAAAACTTTCCAAGACATCGATATTTTGCTGTAATGAGGTTATTTGCATTCTCCATTCGCGATTATTCCTTATATAGATCAATTGTAATTGGACTCTGCCTTTTGACTAGTTCGATTTCTCTATTTCTCTTCAGGCATCGAAAATATTGTTTATTTCTGTTGGAAATATCGAACAAACCTTTGAGCTTGTATTTCCTGTGCTGTAATGTGGTTATAGTTATTATGGATTTACAACATAGCGATAGTCGTAAAAAGGGGACGGAATAAATTTAGGAATTTAATTTACTCTGAGAGCTAGCGGAACAAAAATTTCGCTCACAAATAAAATAAAAAGCCAGGAGATCAAATATAAGAGTTGTTTTTTACGTGTAATAATGTAGATTTATCATAAAGAAAAATTGAATTGTTTCTAATAAGGAAATAAATCTTTATATTATTCAAAGAAAAAGGACTGTTAGGAAGTTTGGCAAAAAAACTCAACCCAATATCTTGCTGATTTTTCTTCCAAGTAATTTTTTTGCTATATTTATATGAATTTTTCGCAACATGTATTTTTTTATTATGCATCGCATCGGTTCATTTATTCATTCCAGAAGAAACGAATCAACGATGAGTGTTTGGATGTAGATCAGTAGTAGTGTGTGACTTGAAGGTAAAAAAAAATACTGTATCGGTATATACAATAATAAAAAATACTATTTTAGGAGATTAAACGTATACATAATTTATTTGTTTGTAATGCTCTGCTCGCTTACGCGATCTTTTAATAATTACCGCGTTTTGACAAATAAATTTTCGAGATACGAACAGCCATTGTCTATACGACCCATCCTTGGTTTCATTTGGCCAATAATACATATCAACTTCCAAATATAGACAAAAATTGACGTATCGTAGTTGATCATTAATTTTAGCCAATGAAAATAAAGTTAACAAATTTTCCAAATGAATTAGAGCTAAAATTATGGACATTACATATACATGTACAACTATTCTGAGATAATAAATAGCTATGACTTGTTTATTCATAATAAGCTATAACGATAATGCCCAAAAATTATTATGATTCAATCATATCACAAATCATAAATATGCTTGGTTCGTGCTTGGTGAATTGCAATCGATGGTTTTTCTTTTATCAGATTATTAACATAAACACAATTCAATTTTTTATTATATGCAAATCCCCTATATCCCAAATGACTACGTTAGAAAAATTATGAAAAAAAGCTTTTTTTTTTAGCGCCGCCGCACTGCACGCACAAATAGGCACGAGTTTAATATTGCCAAAAGATTTAATCCAATGTTTTCATTCGATACCTGAAGCATTTTAGTCCCTGAAAAGCAATCGTTATCCAACTGGTGTTTTGTAAATTCAGGAGATTATTGTGGCAATCTTTCCATTGTTCTATTTGCTTAACAATGTATAGCTATCAGTTAGGAACATCTTTGATTGGTCTGATTTTTGACTTTGTTCCCTAATAACGTGCAATTATGCTTGCTTAGAAAACCATGTCTGCATGCACGAGAATACCTAAAGTTTTTCAAGTAAAGAATAGCAGATTGATACCGCTTTATTAATCAAACGTAACCAATAGGATCGTTCTTATGCATGCATATTTATCGGACAAATATTGTGAGATTGTACGCAGAACTCTCCTTGCTACATTGCATAAAGGAGGAGAAGCATCTTTGCCCGACCAATTGTACATTAAGCAGATCCAGAATTTGTTAGTATGTAAAGAAATCAACTGCACCGGAGATGCTAATAATCAATCAATGTACATGTATATAGAAGTGCTTAAAGTTGATCGATATAGACAATCTTTCTCGAGGTTTTTTAAACGCGACAAACGGCCAATATAAAAGACAACGCAGATGTTCAATGTCTGATTCCACGACGCCAAATATCCGAGCAAACTGAATTTGTTTCATTTCGGTACCACCATTTACAATTGATCAGAATCGGAAAATCCCCCATTATTACCATGTAATCAATCCGTCGTAATCATCATAGCACTGTGTGCAGGCAGTTTTTGGATTTCATTCTCGTGTGAATTTTTGAGACGCTCGATTTCTATTTACAACAAACAACCTTTAACCATCAAAACTTACTTCCAAATGAAATATCATGATCGGATATTGTAATTAAGATACGAATATTCGTAAAGACGCCTTCAATAATTCCATGAAAAATTTTATTTAAATTTTTTTTGTTTAGACGATTAGACGTATAGAAAAATAAGAAAAATAAGAATATGTAAAGAACGAAGAATTTGAATTTGTGAATTTTTCAATATTATTTGACAGAACATTCGAAATATAACGCGAAGGACTAAAAGAATGTGATATAGAAAAAAGATACGAATGCGAAAAAGTATTTCAAGACGAAGATTTTGCGAAAGTTTGTAAAAGGCTAGAATGAAATATTTGAAATACTACAATAAATGAAGTTTCGAATTAAAGCGAATTGAAATACGAACCGAATTGAATTGAATTGAATTGAATTGAACTATTTTGCGTTCATCTAAAAAATTTTGAATTGAATTGACTTGTAAATTTAACAAGAAAGTTGGGGCGAAATAACTTCTAATATTTAATAAAGAGTAAAAGCAAATCGTTGCACTTGCTAAAAATGAATAACATTTTAATTTTTTTGGTTTTAAGTTCGCACATGCTGCTCTCGGCAAATATACTAAAAAAAGATTGCAAAGAAAACAAAGAATGTGTGGATTGAAAAATATAAAACTTCGCGAACATATTTGTTCACGTGCCCCATAGAAGAGTTAGAGTTAAAAGAGCGTATGAATTTGTAATGCCAACCCTTTTGTAAAGTTAAAACATACAGTTCATAAAAAAAGTGGGGAGGGGTAAAATTTTGAATGCAAGAGACATCGAGAAAGTCTTGCTATAATTTGCCGTATATGTGACGATTGAAGAATTTGTGTCTATAGAGATTTTAGGAATTTCACAGACTTAGCGATTAAAATCATCTGTTTCATATTAGAAAGAGGGACACGCATTAGAAAGTTCATTGCATAGAGCAATCTGCAAAGAGATGGCTTAAGGGTGGTCATAATGTTCAATTTAAAGGTTGGAAAAAGAAGGACGAAAGGATAAAATTCTTGACGCTCCATTTTCGTTATTCATTTCCCACTGAATATTTGAATCAGATGCAAATAGAGATGTTTCGTAGGCTTTTTTCGTTAGGGTGGTTAATGACAGTCTCTTGCACACAAAGACGGATTTTCATGAGATTCGCCATCAAAACTGGCTTGCGCGTTAAATGGTTTTCCGGCAAAGTTTCAAGATACATAATGTATGTATTCCAAACATCATTTTCCGATATGCCGGTACGATAGCGATGCATATTTCGATCCGGAGAAGTTCGACTGGTCAAAGTCTTTGTCTCCAATTTGGTGAACGTATTTTGAATTGTAGAACGAGGAAAACGGCATCTCATATATCGGTCATTATTTTTGTGAGTAACGATTTTCATTCTATTATACGGAAAGTGTCATAAGAGAAAGAAACTTGGTCAGTAATGCCGAATTAAAGCATGTAAATTATTAACCCAAGGAGAATTACTTTTTGACTTTCATGCACAGCCAAATTATAACGACGCGCGTTAATAAACCCGCTCGGCGAAAGTACAAAACAAAGGTGTAAGTTGTAGCAATGATCTTTCGATAATGTTAAGTAAAGTGTCTGAACTTGGATAAATGATCATAAAAGCAACTATGAAATTTTGAACAAAGGGAAGGTTGAAAGATCGACGCTCGCAGTAGAATTTGAATGTCGTCGTAGATTATGAAAGAAGGGAGCACGCACGATTTATGTAATCTAATGAAGCTTAAAATTCATTTGGTTGTGTTGCTATTAATTCTTGTTGCGTGATATTGAAATAAAAAACACAATCAATGTGGTAAGATAAAAAACGAATGTAATTGACGACTATTCAATCCAACGAAGCAATATTATAGACGAGGGTAATAAAAATAATAATGACAATATGTATTATTATTATTATTTAAAGGAGGGGCATCGAATGTTCGTTGTGTCTTTCTTCACTTTGAATTTATAAAAAAAATTTGTCACGTTTTTATATGATCTGCGTGGTCAACGGATCATATCAAGAAAGAAGGTAAGGTGATAAGGTGAGCCTAGAACTTAATATGCGGGGAACACATTTAACTTTTTTGTTGAAATGAAATGAAATGAAACAGCATTTGCAAAAAAAGAATCAAAAGAAAGCATAAAACAAAAAAAGGCAGATAAATATTCGCTGCACATTCGCTAGTGATTTCTGAAATCTGTTTGTGATTTGAGTTTATTACATCCCACTTCCTGTTTGTTGTTCAATTGGATTTGTAATTGGTTGAATGCAGAAAATTGTCTACATTTTACTGCAGAATTTACGAAATCAGAAAAAGAATACGCAACAATGCGTACGCGCTTGCTGTTGTATGCAAATGCAAGGAATGAATGCAATGACGATGTTTTTGACAGGTAACTCTAATATTCTTAGTATGCTAAAATATTTATATGTCGTAATATAGAAGAAAGTGTTTATGTATCATACACGAAAATACACAATTTGTTTTATTTGTTCAGATGAGCTTTTATTTATTTGTAACAATGCCAATGCTCTCTCTGCATACTCATTCAGTATTTCGCTGAGATAGTGCCCTTGTACCCTTCCCGTTTTGTTGAATCCAATTTTTGCATATCATCGCGTTGTAACTCAAAGGGTTCAGAGGTGTACTTGATTCGTACCAGGTATTAAATGCAGTGTTATTTATATGGTATCAAATAGCATAACGATAATGTTATTATATGCAGGATGCAATGATGATCAGTTTTCTATTGATTGGTTGTCCATGCATTTGTTTACATTTAATTTCTTGGGTTATTGAATTGGTTCGAAAATCTGGGGACATAATGCGGGTTTCTCCTTAATCGGTTAGAGATAATTCCCAAATAAGGATGGGATGAATGAAATTTGATTGGTAACAATCAATTAACGTTAAACAATGATAAACTAGTTTGGGTATGATAAATTTCGTCCATCCACTTTAGAATTCGTAGCATAAAGGGGGGATACGTACATATTTTTCTCATCACATTAACGCTCACAAGCATGCAGCCATACATACTTACATATATGATGTTATCTGGCATCGTACAGAAAGGGAGAACTGTGACCAATAAATCTTTCAACCTCCAAATAAATTTGCCCTAATGTGCACTACGTAAATGGCTGCTAACAATGGAAACAAAATCTCCAATTGTAACAATTCGTGCTATAATGCTTAATGATGTTTAAGGATTAAACATTCATGCACACATCAATTGGAGGGTTAAGAAAAAGGAGTGTATGTGCGCTATGAGGGGCTAAAAAAGGATACACAGAAGGTTGTGTCATATCATTGTTAGGTAGAAAAAAGTTTATTACGTACTCCAAAATATTTCATTCATCAAAACTTTAATCATTAAGATTAAAACGTTTATATTTTTAATTTCTACAGATTTCGATGTAGAAACCTAGACCTTGTGTTGTCAAAAATCATTTAAAATTTATTTTTTTTTAAAAAAAATGGATTAACTTCATCCTGGATATTTAGCGATTAAGATTTAATTTCTCGTGGACATGTGTATTTCGTAATCTTTGAATAATCAAATAACCACTCTGTACAAGTACCATGTGAATTCTATATTAATGAAAAATTCCAAGTATAATAAACAACAATTTGTCTTTGTACATAAGCCTGCTTCTGATACAAAATTTTTACGCCAAAATTACCCGTTTTTTTTTTCTTAATATACCATATAAATTTTTTGTCGTTAACGCCAAAATTACCCGTTTTTTTCTCAATATACCATATAAATTTTTTGTCGTTAACAGCAGGATTCCTGCATACTTGTGTATTATCTGATATCATGATATTTCAAATAAATCAGAGAAAAAAAATCATGGCATGACAAGTTCCATCAACTGATTCGTCAGAAAAATAATTAGGTAATAAAGTATATTTTTGCCATTCACGTTAAATAAAAGGATTTATGCAAGATAAATCGAATCGATCAGAAAATTTATTTGTTTTGTGGGGTAAAATAAATACTACAGCATTTGATATTACAGCATCTGATCATAAGGGTAAATTGAAATATAAATAATAAACAAAACTACCAATAGAATTCCAACGATAGTAACGACAACCAGGTGCCAAGACTCTTCAATGAGTATCAATTTAAGCTTATCTTTGCAAAAAGAAAATCCCTGAAAATCATCTGTAAGCTTAACGATCTAATATATTCGGGATATTTCCTTAATTCTAATAGATAATAGTTCTATAATCTCATTTCCTCGTGATTGATTATCTTGTAAACACGCTTTCTTTCTAATCTCACTTGCTAAAGACGGGGTTTAATACCAAATAGTTTAGAGGCTCAAACTTGTCCGTGATTAAAGAGCCTTCATTTCTTTCAAAAAGGAATATTACTACTATACTGTAATTTTGGTAGTCACGACTTGCAAAGATTAATCATCCATGCCTAGGAAAGGTGCGAGAGTTTGTAAACTTTGAAAATTTGAAGGATATATTTCTTTTTATTATTACGTCAAAGCGTTACATTTCATGGAATCATAAAAAATAAGATATTGAATATTATTATATTATTATAGACTAAATCTAACTGATTATAATTTCCTTTGACGCTCATAGGATTCTCCATGGATCCTAGCCTGGCCTTCTGCTATTTGGTCTTTTCCGTTTTCTAGTATCGATTCACTACCGACAATTTTCCCTACTTGTTCTTTGACCTTACCTATGGCTTTATCGATAGCACCACTTGCTTTATCTGTGGTGGTTGGATTACCAGGATTAGTGTTGACTTCACCTTTAAGTAATTTCTCAAATCCTTCCTCGTTGTTGTTGTTGTTGTTGTTGTTGTTGTTGTTGTTGTTATTGTTGGTTTTGTGTCCGGGAGATGGAGGTGTCTCATTGACTTGTTTTGAATTATAAAAAATGTAGGTGAGCATCTTTTTATCGAATTAATTACTCAATAACGAGATACATACGACCAGTTGGATTAGTTCCAACGCCTTCTAATGCAGTGGAACCTTGGGTAATGACTTTCGCAACTGGAAGATTATGACCCATTGATTGATCTTTGTAGGGTTGTGAATCTACAGGCTTGTCTTTGAAATTTTCAAAAAAGAGAAATTCAGAATCGGTAATGAGATTAATTAGACGAGGATCGATACTTTATAATACATTATTGTTAACAATTAATTCACTCTGAAATACCCTTTTGATTACTTCCAGCGATGTTGGTTTCGTTTGCCATTGAAGCTTTATCTTTTGAAGACATGGCGATGGTTGTTATTTCGTGTCAAAAAGTTCACTAAACAATGAATTAAAGCGGCTCGTCTCTGAATAAAGATTTTTAACTTAAATGTTGTTGGAAAGAGGGTTTTTTTTAGTTTTTTTAGTCTGATTTTGAGTTAGTTAGCAGCGCTCTTTATATAGATAATGAGATCGCGTTATTAATCATCATTACATCAATATAACGCAATCATTATGTCATTGATCATCAAACTAGACTGAAAGCGGATACGTAGATGGCAATGTCATCATATCGAGATAGATATACTGTACCTTATTTAAATAACGGTAATCGCAGTTTTGCGATCCTGGGTATCGAAATAATTAATTGCTACCGTTACGATTGAAGATGTTGTATTTTAAACAATTTCTTTTTTCATTTAATAAAAAAGTGAAATTAATCATTATCCACTTTATTATGCGAAATAACTAAATGCACGAAAGTTGAGTCAACGTTATTATAAAATACATCAAAAAATACGCAGAATTACTTGAATTACTAGATTCAAGTATATTTTTGTACAAATGCGACATTTTTGTTAACCTTCCCTATAACTGATATTGTTGATCTCCTAAAACTTGTCGCATTCCAACAAATAATTTTGGTTCTCAAGGTGGATATTATTTTTTGTCGTTGCGAGTGACTCATCAACAGAAACTGATGTTTCAATTGTCGACCTGATGGGGAACAAAAATCTTATTCCGTAGTTGTAGAAATAAAATGCTCCAAAGGTAACGACGTTTCGAATAACCTTTTTCGAGTATTGTTGTAAATCGACCCAAAAAATACAATTCTGACCAGCTTTTAATGAGCCACAGCCCCAATATAGTACTAATGTGCGTAACGGATAAGTACGTAATAGACTATAGGATTTCACTATCTCCAGTTTCTAAATAAATTTATTCGACGTATTGTTTTCACGCTATACGTCTTTGTTACGCGATCTGTTTTGTTATCGTATCGAATTGTTCGTATTTTTATCATTGTCAATTTTTTAGTCGTCGTTTTCTGCGAATAATTCATCATACAATGAATTATTAATTGATATTTAAGTGTCGTATATCATTTTCTAATATCGTATCTATTTTGAAACGTTATATTTCACACATTTCTGGTTTCTCCTTCGAATGGTCGGAAAGTAACTTATGTCGTTTTTCAAATCAAATTAATATAAAATGTGAATGCATGTGTATGAAATTGAATGAAAAGCGTTATGATGTCGAGAAAAATCTTGTCCGCTATCGCTATTATATAACTGTTTGGATAGTCGAAAAATGCTAGTTTTATGACGGCTACCTAATGCAACCCTTTGTAATTTAATGCATCGGAAAGCGTCTAAATCGAATATTTGTTTGATTACATATAATGCATATACAGGCTTTGTGTTTGTTAGGGTCAATTGTTGAGAATGACTTAGAAGAATGAACATATAAATTCATACGTCGCATCTTTTTATGTGTAAAACTCGAAAAGATAGGAAACTAAAAATATTTAAAGAAGGAATATTTGCCAATAAATTGGACTTGTAACATGAAAGGTTTGACGCTCTACATTTTTCCCAAGGCTGGGATTTAACAAAGTGTGTTATAGGCTATCCCTCCCTACCTTTATAAATGCAAGCTCAATCTAATGTTGGATTGTTCTACTTTTATGCATGCATGCAATGTTTGAATACCGATACTTATGCTTTAAAACGTACGTAATTACTTTTATCGTCAGTTGTTACTTGTGATCTAACAATAAAGTTCAATTCAGATAGTAGTAATTTCCTGAAAAAGTTAAGGATGGTTCCTGTGTAATATAATTAGATAATTGATTGGTATTGAAGTTTATTTTACTATAATAATAATGGACATTTGAATCCTTGTTTATATTAGCCGCATTCGTGTGTAATTAAGGAATATTAACTGCGAGTTCACATAATGAGGGATGAATAAAATTATTTCGCTTTACAAATAATGTCAATTTCAGGAAATCTTAGCGTTAGGAACGGGAAGGCGATTTCATCTTACAAATTAGTAATCATTACGTAATTATTGCTATTTACTACTTTAACATGCATATCGATATGTTGTGTCCAAGCGTCAATTGACCCAAATCCCAATTGGAATTTTGGACAATAACTTCTAATTGAATCAATATTGCGTTATGAAAAGTACTAACTAGACTTGTTCACCATTGTTAATCTATAACAATTTCAGCATTAAGCATGTTAAAACCTGACCTGATAGTATGGCTAGATATTCGTTCAAAGTTTGCGAAAATATTTTAGAAATTTAGGTTATCTTTCAAAGCTTGTAAATAATTATTTTGCATCCAAAATTTTAATGATTAGTGGTACGTACATAATAATTATTTTCAATTAGAATTTGGGAGCGAAATTAATCCAATTGGGATTTGGGCTGCCCAGATTGACTCTTGCTTGCATACCAATACGTACATTTGCAGTTATTTTTTTGGTGATTCGCATTTATCGTTATATATACGTGGAAATTTTTCAAATTTTCAGAGATCGAAAAATATTAGACATATTTTCTTCTTTGTTTGCATCATTATAGATGCGAAAGATGACAGCATATTTATAATTACGGCTTTTATCGAGACGTTAAATATAGCCGAACGCGACAAAACAGATCCCATTGAAACGAGCATTTAGTAAATAAATAATGTATTATATTGATAATTATATATGTAATATTATGGCATCTAGTTATACAAAAATTTTGAAGAAAAATGTAAATAATACTTCAAGTGTCTTTTATACGTACGTATATCAAAGTTCTAAATAATATTTATGCTAAATCTATTTTAAACATAAAGTGTGTATTTAAAATCACTATATATGCTTCCAATAAATATTATACGAAAATCAGAGAACCTAGAACAACTAGGATTATTGTTATAGACATGACTGGGCTGTTTGCTATTGCTGGGCTGATTCCTATGGTTGGAGTTACCTTTGTTGTCGCTGTCGATGTTGCGCCTGGTTGCGATAGATCCATTGATGGATCCACTGATGGTTGCGATAGCCCCACTGATGGCGTCGAACCTTTTGTTCCTGTCGGCAATAAATATGTTGATACTGACGCTAATGTTTGTATTGACGCAATTGATGGTATTGTTGCTATTGAATATGTTGGTACTGCTACTGTCGGTACTGCCACTGTTGCTGGTGGTAATGATGAACCTTGCTTGCAATAGCCGTCGCTGCCGCAAATTTGACCCTGCTTACAGCATTTACCGAATCCACAACTTACAGGATTGGGACCACAGCCACCGCTACATGTTCCACTTGCTTGACAAACCGTACCGATGGGACAACATCCATCACCATCTGAACATTCGGAATACCCGGATGGACAAGTGTAAGCTCTTGCTTCCAAAGGTGAGCGTTTGGCTATGTCGGGACCCATCTGCATAAGAAGTGAGTCGTATTCATCAGCGAAAGCGAAATTGCTGAAGGCGACAACGGCGAGGACAAGGATTAAGATAAGATTCTTCATGACGAATCTAAAGAGTGATTATACTTTGTGGAAAAATGTGAAATGAGTGAAGATATAAAATTAGCGAAGATGTGAAATTAATGAAGATGTAAACTTAGCGAATATGTGAAATTGGCGACGTACGTATTTATAAAGAACTCAGACGGCGGCGCAGTTTGACATATAATTCTTTCTTCGTTTTCTTTTCCCAATTCGAATGACTAGCAGCCATAAATATTTATCGCGTGTGTAGTAATCTGGCGTCGATCAATTCTTCTGAGAAAAGAATGTATCAGTGTGTTATTGGTGGTGGTGGTGTCGTACATGCAAAAGAGTGGAGTAGTTTCAGCTTTTATCAAGTATATTTTCTAAGATCAGGACTCGGAACTTGCAAAATTAGTATAATGTTGATCATTTCGATATGCAACACAAGACGTATAATGTTGTACTAATATTTCACAAAAATATTGTAGCAAACACTAATTTTCACAAAAATTAATTGAAGTAAACAAAGAAATAAATATCCAGCGACCCAGCACTTTACAATTATTTGAGGCAAAATGTGAAAAATAATTTTAAATTATAAAATATGGCAATTGTTCTTTCCTTTCTTTTCCTCTTATGTATAAGAATCACCTAATGTTTTTGCTGCGCTTTTAAATACAAGAATGTGGTGGTTGGATGCTAATCTTAGTGTTGGATGCTAATCTTAGTGTTAGTACGATAAAAATAAACGGAAAGCTCCCCGTGCTGAATAGACGATCGGATAAACTTTGATCAATTACATAAAATTTTGTATGCACTGTCATGATACATGTATAATAATAGATAATATAACATGCATCTGACAACAACGAATACAAATAGCATACAGTATGTAAAAAAAAAAAGAAAGTATCAAAAACAATTGGAATCAAAACTCAAAGCCTGGAAGGTTGTTGAAATCTAATGATAAATTCTCAAAATTGGTAGACGAAAAAGAAGGTAAAGAAGGATAATATAGTTTCAAAGTATCATCATCATACTCAGTATAGTTGTCAATAAAGAAATCAAAGTGATTGAAGTTTTCATCATTTACACCAGATGACATCAATTGAGGCTGCTCATTTAACGACGATGACGGTGGACACACTAATATATTTTGGGATGGTTTTGGCGACAGTTGTTTTTCAAAAAATGCTAAATTGCTATTGTTACTATTTACATTTTTGCTACTGTCTAAAGGATTCGGTGGAACATTTATTTCAGAGATACAGGAAATTTTTTCTTTTGAATTTTCTACTTCATAATTATTATCATTGTGATAATTAAGCGGCAAACAGACTTCTGTATCGGCGGCAATCGGTTGGTCGTTTACTAGTCCTAAAAGGTCTTCCAATTCGATTGAGATAGAGGCGGACGAAAAACGATTCGATGAAAAAGGTTCACTAACATTATCAGAATCCTCAGAATCATTGAATTTATTCGACTCATCTATAAATACTGCTGATTTGTTGCTATTATTTTTTCGTGATGGCTTCGGAGAATATCGATATCCAGGAAATTCAATTTTATGAATTTCTTTTGCCAAAACACTCAAGGCATGGAAGTATCGTTTAACCTCTTCGGATTGCATTTTCCAATTAATCGAGGCTAATTTCGATACATCCTTAAAAGAGTAATTTTTCACGCATTGGGATTCCGCTGTTATCTGAGAAATTCCAACCTTCTTATACGCACAACTATCACAAGGACAGTTTCTTTTTATTCGTTCTCTGAAATCACGACAAAATAACAGATAAGCATTTTGTGGGCGTGGTATTTGTTCGTCAGGCATTCGACTGCGACTACGACTACGACGACGACTGTTTTTTTGTGTGTGCGATAAAAGATCTTTGTGGTTTATTGATAATTGATAGGGAGGATTCGCGAGAATTTCGCGTTGATTTAACAAAAGGGTTGGTGTCATCAAAGAAGACTTTGAATTGGTGAATTTCTTTTTAGTTGTTAGCTTCGAAGATGTCATTGTCATTTAATCTAGTCTTTTGAAGCATTACTAGAGTTCGTTGTTAACTTAACTTTTAGTTATGTCGGCTATTAAATAGTTTTCGCGAACTTTCATCTGTTTTTATAAGCACTGATTTCTGGTGTCATATTCGGAGTCTATAAGCACTGATTTCTGGCGTTATACTCGGAGTCTATCATCACACATAAATTTCGAACACTAAAGAGAATGACGCCATTTGACGAGTTTTCTATTTACATTTCTACGTAGAATGATCTATTCTTTGCCGAATGATTGGATAATGATATGTACCCAATGTAATTCGATGAAGAATGTGATACAATTACAACATAACAAAAATGGATAGAAGAGCGTATTGTTTATCGTTACAGCCATAAGTTGGATGCATATCCCAATAGAATTTTTGCAGCATTGATAAACAATAAACAATGCAATGCACTTTTACTCCGTAATACGAATAGATTTCTACTCGGCGATGCTCCTATTTATATGCATGGAAAAATTACTCAATTGATCACAAGAGTTTGTTGTCATGGAATCAAAAATCAACTTCACGGGAAAATCAAATCTTTCATATTTATAATATCAGATTTTCGATTACGATTAGATAAGATACATTTCAAAACTGATCGAATGCATAAAGAAAATTTGGAAGCTGTAGGATAAGAATTTGATTTCCACGATGCTGGATTCTAGCTACCAATAACTTTTCAAACAAGTTTGCATAAGCATAGTTCAACAATCACGTGGTGGTCTATTTCACTGGATCTCCAATTTTTAGCTATAAGTTGATTCGATAAAATCGGCAAGTTCTCATATATAATCCTGATTAACCAATTGTAGTGTACTTTTGAATAGCTTATAAGTCTTTATGTAACGAATCTGTGAATACGTCAAAGGGAAAGCGGTGTAGTCAATACAAATGTGGCGAGCAGCTATTCAAATAAAAAGAAACCATTTGAAGCAATGTAATGCTCCAAATTGAGAGTCAAAGACTAGCCGGGACTTATACACACAACATTGATACAAAAGTTTTACCGAACGTAGGATGTTTGTCGAGACAGTTGTGGCATTTATAAAAATGTACATTTTAGCTTTTGGTGTCATTAAACCATGTGACTTTTGCTGTGATGTCGTAGACGAACAAGGATTATTCCTTGTATGAACTACACAAATTGGACATACGATGGCGCCATGTCGTTATGGTCATACTTGAAAAGTATTAAATAATATTTTGTATTTAAGAAGAGCTTGTAAATTAGATAAAAGGAGGAATTATAAGGGGAAGATGCTTCTTGAGAATGTGCTTATAAAGAGGTTGTGAGTATATATACGTGCTTGTAGAAAGGTTTTACTGATGATGTTGACTGTGTGCCATCCAATACTGCGCAGGTGAGTCGCACAGTTTTGTCAATCTCGACACAGCAACCAATAAAGATGCGAATTAAATATTTTGGATGCAAATCCTTTACAGTTCAAAGTACATGTTTTGGATAGCTTTAAACTTTTTGTACCATTAGTATAACATTCCTGGTAAAAAGCGCATCTTGTCAAAAGTGTAGCATCCTCAAAATATACTCGGTAGACGTCTAAAATAAAAGATATATCGAATGAATGAAATCGCATGTAAAAATAGCCATTACACACTTAACATTGAAGATAAACCACCACCAAACACGTGATATACCCATCATCCCATGGCTCTACCTTAAATTTCATAATGCTACGTGGCATCACGGTATGTGTTAAGTGATTGTCCCTTAGAGCCTAACGCTAATAAATATCCAATTGCGTAATCTATTAAGCCTAATACCATGAACGTCTTGTAAATTAAAAATTTTGAACGAGCGAATTTTTTAATTTCGTTGGTTTCGATGTTTATTGATAAGCGAAAACAGACGTTGGATGATATTGATAAGCCAAAATTGGTATAGGTGGCTGTTTAATAATTCATTTGAATTGGCAATTTGGCTATTTTGATATTTCAATTTCAGGCGAATCCAATATTTGTCATTCCAAGTTTTCAAATTTTGCATTTTCAATTCTATGCATAGCGATAGCGATAATATTTCAATTGTTAATTGCATAAATTTTATTATCGTTACCATCATTATCGTTATTGTTGATCACAATTAAATAAGTTTACAAAGTCTTAAATTTGAATGGAATGGTTGTACTTAATTTTTTTTCTTCCTCGCATATGCATATTTTACCGAAAATTATTACTTAATGCTTATTTATGAAAATATTTAAAGTGATCTTCTTATAGTTTGAACTTTAATAACCTTAGGCAAGTCAAAATACGTTTTATTATAACTGTCAATTTTTGAAATATATGTAAGATTCGTGATCCATTAAATTTAACAAAAGTTCTGATGGAGGATTAACAATTTGGAAGATACTATATGAATTTTGAAAGGTCACATTTGCGGATTCATGAATATGCTCTTCCACTTCCCTTTCGTAAGGGAAAGTGAGTTGTCTCGAATCAAAAATATCTTCTAAAACAGTAGGCTCACTCGAATTCTGAGGTTCTATTGATTCTATGGTGCTGGTTGTGGTAGTGTCTTGTGACGTCGGATTAGATTTACTAACATTAATAAATTCAAGATTGAAAGTGTCGATTGTGAAATGATTATTTTCAGGAAAGCGTTGATTGATGGGAGTTGTCGGTTCCGAAACACCGACCATATTTGTGTTATCAATAAAATTGAAATCTTGGATAACGTCCTCTGCTACTTTGGATACACGTAATTCGCAATGAATATCTTTTTTAGCTCTCACTGGATTTTGCGAGAAAAAGTTCTCGGGTGTGAGGATTCGTGGTGTTTCTGTGTCCTGAAGGATCTTTGCAATATCTTCTGAAATTACTCGATATTCCTGTTTTACTATCTCGGGTTTATTCCTCCATTTCTCAGATGCTATTGGCGAGATTTCTTTTGCAGGAAGATAATAACCGTGATTATTAAATTCCCGTACTAATGCTTTTCGATAAAGAAGAAAACAATTTGGCGGTTTTCCTGTAATTTTTCGTTCTTTGTAGCTTGTAATCACGGCATTTAATTGATCACTTATCGGAAATGGGACGTCGATTTGGTTGAGGGACAGACGTTGGCACTTTGGTTTTTTAGGATTTTTGGTATCATTACTATTTATTGGTTTAGGATTAATGACTGTCATAGTTTTGGATGTTTAGATGATAGTATCTCATACGAAGTGAAGGTCGTTATTTATATGTTGAAAATCCGAGTCGAACGATTTTCAAAGACCTGCCAATTTTCGGTCGTGTATTTATAAACTAGCACGCTTTAGGAAACATTATTTGTGAACGTGCATTAATTTCTTCCTGATTATTTTTGGCTTTCAAAGAAAAATTTAGCGGCGTGTAAGATGTTTTGAATACGAAGAGATGGTGGCGTGTTTTTCACATTAATCATCCGGAGATAAACAATGGAAAATTGCGATATTTTAGGTCATAATAAATCATATTGTAAATTTCTAAATTTGTTCGCATGGGCATTTGAGATGCATATTGCATAAATATACGTACCCGCTTCTAAAATAATTTATGAAAATGTATCGCATGCATGTGTGTACCCACTGCTAAATTAATTTCTGAAGTGATATACTGAGATAAACTTTGGGCTCTGTGCTTGTACAACTACATGGAAGACTACGACGACCACTGAACTAAAAAATCTTTTCATTGTATGCTCGATTTGTTGTTTATGTGCGAAGTGATCATATAAATTAATTGGTACATCCCATTGTTTTGTACTTTGGATAAACTTGTAATTGCTTGTGAAATCGAGGGTCCTGGTTTACGAAATATTTTTTGTGGTACATAATAGAAAAGAAACAAATGATTTTCGCCAAGATTCCAATGTTGTATTCAATGGCTTCGATAAAAATTTCATTTACAACTTTGTCGTATCAATTTAACGTTAGTCAAAATCAACCTAAAATCTATGAATTTCGTATATGCGCGTTTTTTTTACGGCCGATGATTGTCTATGTAAGAGAAAATCGAAGCAGATTTCATGTATTTTTGAATGAAATCTCCCCTCTTTTATTTTGCTGATTAATTTTTGCAGGATTCTTGATATACACAAAAGTACGATCAATAAATTGCCATTTAATCCCATTTCAGTCACATACAAATTTAAAATGCATATATTCAAAGAATGCCTTAGCAAGTCTACTTTGGTTATCGGTTTGCAAATGTTAAGTGTCCAATAATGTATTACATCCTAAAGTACGTACATTTATCGCTGATAAAAAACTAACGTACGTATAGTGTAAAATAACGTGTCTCGTAATCGACATTATAGAAATTCTCATAAAGTATAAATCTACAGTGCATACACTGTGTATTGTGTATGATGAATAACGCGGGTATGCATGCGTGAAATTGCGAGTAACGGTAAAAAATTATGCGAATAGTGTGATGGCTTATATACTTTCTTCGGCTGTGGCAAATTTTGCTTACTAAAAAACGGATTGAAATCCATTAGTCTATAATAGTATAGGTAAAGCTAACGCTAATAATAAATAGCGTATAATCAAAATTTGCCAAAAGTTATTGTTTTTGCATTCGATTATTCAACTTATTAAGAAAATTTCTATAGCGATAGAAATTCGTTATGTTAATTTTTTTGTTTTAGATTTGATTATTGTTTTAGGTGGTGTTTTTTTTTATTAAATTATGGAAAGCGCATGGCAAAACGCCTTGTTCACAAATTTATGTTTATTAAAAAAAAAATGTTGTACAATTAAAGATTATCGTTATAATTTATTGCTGAATTTGTGAGTGTATAAAATATCAATATGGTATATATGGGATTTTTTACCCATGCTTAATGCTGAATAACCCTTTTCTACCAAATTTCCCATCTATACAGATGTTTGTATTACCCAAACTTGTTGTATTTAAAGACTGTAACGTATCTATTTAATAACGTAAAGACTCGCAAAAACGTGGTATTTTTCCGTTTATATGCAATACAATTGTATACAAATATATGTTTCAGATTTCAATTGAAATTAGGCTTTGGTTCCAATGCTGCAATGTTTTTTTTTTAATTATTCTTTATCGCTCAATATCTTTCAACAAAACGAATTAAAGTGAATCTGCATCTCATTAATTAATCACACAATGCAACTTTCATTTACAAAAAAGAAATAACATTATTTGAAACTACACAAACGAAAACAATACATTTGTTTGTACAATATGTTTATAGTTTATTTTTATCTATCTATTTTGGGTGTGTGTACACTGTATTATTTATTACGTATTAGTGTACACTGTCTCACATTGTCATACATCTCGGCCATCATAAAAATAGAAAAACTTGATTGTTGATAAGCGTAAAGGGAAATTTTTATGTAGATCTGAAAAAGAACCTGGTAATTCCAATAATTCTAGTGAAAATTTTAAGATTAGGAAAATAATGGATATTGAAATTACATCTAATCACCATGTCAAGCATAACTTGATCTTCTCAAGAATATTATTCGTCTTCCTTGTATGACAAAATTCAATGACTTTTGTGTAGCCTTGCGAACGTGGTGGCGTATTTATGCCACTTTTACTTTGATGGACTAGTTCATGCATGGGAAAATAATCAAAAATCTGCAGTCGATCCAACCCAGAAAGGCCGACAACGGCGATCTTGTTCGGAGATAATCTTATACATTGTTTCTAAATCGGCGGTGTCACCAAAAAATTTATAAATACAAAGGAACAGACTTGTTTGCTTATCGACAAAAGTAAACTGCATCACTGCAACAATAAATTCTAACTTTGCAAACGACTACGTATATTTATTTACTCAAAAATTCCGATTACAAATAGCAATTCCGTCGAAACCAATATTTTCAATATCTCTTCAATGTCTAACATTAATAAAATTGACAACAATGGTAATAATAACAACAATCCAACTAAAGATGGACGCTTGTCCCTTGAAGCAATCGATGTTCCATTTCCTTTAACAGGTCAATTGGCCACAATAATCGCAAGCTATAAAGAAAGAACTATCTCCGGAAAACCACCAAATGGCTTTATTCTCTATCGAAAAGCATTAGTGCGAGAATTAAATGCTCACGGTTATTATCTACCTGCAAAAGACATTTCTCCATTAGCATCGGAAAAGTGGAAAAATAAACCTGAAATCGTGAAAGAAGAATACCGTCAAATTTCATCCAATATCGGAAAGATTTTCCAAAAAGCTGAACCGCCGGTGATTCTTACGCCGGAGAATTTTTGCACTCAATCAACGATTAAAATGGGTAGAAAAAATGTTCGTGGCGAAGCTGCAACGAGAACTTTCAAAATGACGAATAAATTAGTTTCAAAAATTGATACAGATATTGTCGCAGAACATTTTGATGGCTCACAAAAATCTGATTCTGAGCCAGCCACACCTTTGAGCAAAGATGAAGATGAAAATGAAAATACTGAAATTAAAAAATTCTTTGAACATTTATATTCCACTGAAAATTCTATGAACAACTCAAACAACATATTTTTTGAACACGCGCCTGAATACAATTTACCTTCAGTGAAACAAGAAATAAATTGCGCAGATAATTTTGATTACATAAGAAACTGTGGTATTGCTCTTGAAGTTGGATCACCCTTTTTAGAACCTGTAGCAAATTGCTTTCTAGAATCGTACAACAGCTATTCACAACCAATAATGATAAATGAATCTCCTGCAGATCTTTTGCTTTCGTTAATGGATCGTGAATCTGAAGTGTACTTCGAAAAATCTAATTGGATCGGGCTCTTTCCTGAAAGAGAAACAGAATGCTTTAACAACTATATTAATGCTGACAGTTTCGTTCCGAATCTTTCACTCCCTCTCGTATGATAACATTCTAAATCAAAATCCAAAATCTTTACTATTTAGAATATTCCTTCCACTACTGAAAATTTAAGAATTTATTAACTCGCAACCTTTAAAATAAGAGTTATATAGGCTTTTTATAAATATATACTTTTTATGCTTTTTGTCAATTTAAATTTTTTTTGTAAATTTCTATTCTTCTTTAAAAAAACACAAATTTTCTTTATTATAGATATTTATTTCATCACACTTCACTAAAGCAAATATCAATCTAAGATTAATAAGCAACATTAATTTTAACTTTGTAATTTTTTTAGAAAAAAATTTTAAAATTTTATATAATCATTTCTTAAAAAAAAAATAAAAATAAAACACAATTAAATTGCTTTGTGCTATTTGGAATTAAAGATATAATCGATAGAAAACATATAAAGCAAAATATCTTTGCTTCGTGCATATGTTATTTCATTTTTAAAGGAAAGTCTAAAACACGTTCTATGTCTATATTCTAAAATTTACTGAGTATAACTAATAAACTACAACCACTTTGGGTTTCGGACATAAAGTATTAGTTTAATTATGTGCAGCGTTTAGTAAAGACATGTTTATATATACACACCCCTACAATAAATCACCGGAAATCCAACCTCCCACAGTAAACATTGAACAAATTGAAATTATTTCTCTATATTGAAAATTTCTGTTTTATTAACAATATTTCTACGATGACTTCGCAAGCAAAAATATCCTTCAAAGAAATCCAAAAATTCAAACACTTTAACCACAAAAAAACACGTTATATTATAGTTCTTATCAAAGGTTATTTAGCAACGTATTTTTTTGTGGTTAAAGTGTTTGGATGCAAACCCTTACAGTTTAAATTACTGGAGTACGAGTGTGTATATATTTTTTTTTTCAACTCAATTCATTCAAACCATAAATAAATTATTATATTTACGCAAAAAATTTTCTTGTCGTTTCAAAAGACATTCACGATTATATACTTTCAAAATGTATTCTTTACGTATTTACAGATGAACGCATAAGAGAATTTGATGCTCTTTTGAAGTCCTTTGAATGGGAATGGAACAGAAAAGCCGGTAAAGTGAACGGGATATTAAAAAATACGATTATGAATTAACATATTCTTTCTTGATGAAGCTGTAAAATTTGATTGGGCGTATAATGTATTTTCTTTGGGAAAATTCTTTATGCTTTCTTTGAGTCATGGAGCGAAACAGAATACTCGTGTTGTTGTTTATTAGTTTAAGGTTGCAGCTTAGTTAGGAAATTTCGATGCTCAATTACATTTGGGAAAAATATCTTTCAGGAGAGGGGAACCTCGCGTGATATTTTATTTGCTCCATTAGAAAAATATAATTATTTTAAGTATTTTTATATTGATTTTCCAAATGCTATTTTTTAGAATTTTAGCAGATAATTAATTAATGCACGTGATATTTAGTGCGACACATGATCTTTATACATGTACATGTACGTTTCATAATGCCAATTTTGGGGCAAAAGTTACCCTAGTCACGGCGAAAAAAAGTGACTGTCTCGTGATAATGATCCGATCCGACCTCGGTCGACCCGACTTTTATTGCGTCGATTCATAATAAGAAATACATTGAACAAAACAAATAACCTAGTTTCAAATGGTTGCATGCCACAATTACTCCTTTGCATTCTCAGTTCTTTAAAGAGGTATAATAACACGGGAGTCACACAAAATCGTGTAGTGATTGATGATCCGTAGCCATTTGCAAAGTTTTTGATGCATTTCGCTGGCATCCTTGCGTTAATTATCAGTCTTAAAGGAGTCGCGTGGTGATTTTATGACCAGCAGCCATTGATTCTCAAAACACGAGTTTTTGATATCGTAAATTTGATATTCTATTTTATTTATTTTATTACTTGTACATGTACAATTTTGTTAAAGGAGCATTACAATAATATATAATATATAATAAGAAATTTAGTATCGTAGAGCACTGCCTATAGTATCCCCCTCATATAGTACCCTCCCGAGTAAAGTACCTCCCCTTCTCCACCAATGAAATCGCTGAAACCATGAATAATACCAGGTACTAATCAACTTTCCAACCGGCGAGTTTTGAATAATACTCGGGGTACTATAGGCATTGTTCCACGGTGAACAAAACAAATGATTTCTTGAATAGGAAACACCAATAAAATAAGTAAACTTAATAATAAATAAAATAAAAGAATTTCAAATACTTCAAATGATTTCTTACCAATACACAATCACTTCTTACATTCTCCAGTTCTTTAAAGAGGCATAATAACAGAGAATCCCAAAATCGTGAAGTGATTGATTGATCCATAGCCATTTGATGGCATTCTTTGTATTGATTATCAGTAAAGGAGTTCACACAAGTCGCATAATAATCCTCAAATGCAAGTTTTGATAACATATGATGTCCCAAATCATGTAGAGATGATTGATCTATAGCCATTTACGAGCTTTTGATGCATTTCGCTGGCATCCCTACATAAGACAACAGATATCATTTAGTGGTATCATTAAAAATAAATATTATCATAAACCCAAAAAAACCAAATCAGTAAAGGAGTCTGCACAAATTGCGTATTGATTTATAACTCAAAGTTGATCAATTCGCAGACTATACTTTCCCATTTTCTTGCGCTAATAATACATTACCTTTATTAATTTCTTGCACACATATACTTATTATTGATATTTTTCATAAAATGAGTGAAAAAAGCTCAAATAAAGATAGTAATTGTGTCATAACTATTAGAATAAATTAGTTTTGTATATAAATTTTTAAAATGTATATTAATAAAATAAATAATATATATAGTAATTTTTAATCAGAAGATATGCGGTTGCTGCTTTGGCTCAAAAAATAAAATAGATTTCTGTTATCCACGTGGTAATAATTTGCAGCAATTAATACTTGACTTGCAATTAATGCTATAATAGATGCAAGAATAATTGACAAGAAATTGCTTGATCTTCAGGAAGAAACAAAAACTTAAAACCAGTTCGAATGTACCCATATCAAGCACAGTACTAGCTTGATCTATCTCACAAATACTGAGCTGGTATCTGAAAATGATAGCTTCCTTGATGAGCAATCAGTAGATGTTAGTGATAATTAATACAGAAATAGTGAACTTTTATATAGTATAGACAAAGTACAAGAGTTCATTACTAAATAATTTCAAGATACCAAAAATTTCAACAAGCAAATTTAGCGTTTGAGATTAAATTGGATTCTAAGCTTATTGAAAGCATCTTTTTGACTCAACAAGAATTCGAGCAAAATATAAATAATCCAGAAATGATTAATAAAAATTTTCATCAACTAACTAATATTCTTCTTTTGTCATTCAAGTTTGAATTAGGTTATTATTAAAAGATATGACAAATTCATCTTAACACCAAGAAAAAGTTATTCACAGGTTGTATCACTACATATCTTGAATATATACAGTGAGAAAACAGACAGCGAACAAGATCTAAAAATTTATTAATCAAACAAAGTAGTGAGACCTATGTTCAAATAAATTGATACACTTGTATAAGAAATATTATATTTACTATTGATCTCTGATAGCAATGTATTTTTGTTGAAGATATTTATCAAGCACATGAATATCTATTGCACAGATAGATTGAGTTTTCACTAGTAGCAAAGTGATGAATTCAAGATAATATTAGATACAATTTATAGAATTACAAATTGTATAAATATCTTCAATAATACAAACTTATCGATGCATAAATTTATATCAAAGAACAAGTTTACTACTGAATAACTATCTTTAGTAAGCAAACACATATTTTTAATTCTAAGAATTAGCTCTTATCAACTCAAAAATATCTTAAAAAATTCAAAATAATACAAAAAGATTTTAAAGTTCTCTATTATCTAAAGAATGACTTCATAAGAGCTCTTGAATTCACAATATCATTATTCAATTATATTGGTACTACAAATATAAAAGAGATTATTTTAACTTTACATTCAAAATGAATCAAAAGTGCTTTGAGCTCTTTGTGATAAATGTTAACTATAATGAATACGAAATATTATTAATATATCTGTATTGTTACCGTAGTAACATAAATTTCTCTAATTTGATAATCTTTTATTGATTATGTGAAATTCTCTTTTTCTTAATTTTTACCATTTATCACCTGATTATCATTATTTTTATCCAATCGTATAATTATCTCACTTTATATTATTACCCTAAATCTTATATTTATACCCTAAATATTATATTTATTCCCTTTTTCTTATTTCTATATACTTTTATTACCCTAAAT